CCCCCCCCCCCATGGGGGTCTCTGGGCGGTTTACAATTTGTTTTACAATTTATATAAAGTTTATATCTCCGCTACCTGACATTACGTTTTATGACACAGGTGGCCTGATGAAGTGACATTTTATGTCAGGTCCGACCCTCATAACAAATGAGTTCGACACCCCTGGGCTAAGCCTTGGGGCAGAAGGAGAAGTGTCCCTGGGCCTCTGGCCAGGGTGGGAGAGCGAGCACATGTGCTGAAGGGAGGCAGCTGGCTTTTGAATCCTGCCCAGCCCTGGGACGCTGGCCAGCCTGGGCCCAGTGACTCGGGGTGGGGTGGGGGTCTCTGTTTGCGGCACCTGTAAAATGGGCAGGGGGATTGCTTGCTTTGTGAAGCTTCGACAGGAGTGAGAAGAGGGTGGGAAATCATTTAATTATTTATATATTGGATTTATTAGCCGCCCCATCCCTGTTGTTGCTGGGCTCTGGGCGATGTACAGTGCCCATAAAACACAACCAGATAAAATCATTGAAACGTTAAGGGGCCTTCTCGGTTGCCAGGTAACCAGCGCCCGCGCGCGCGGGGCAGGACGGGAAGGGAAGGGCCTTTTTCCGCTCGCGACCGCTCTGGGTCACCACCTTTTTGCCTCCCGCGCGGAGGATCCTGGTCGCTGTAGTCCGTGAGGGGGCACGCCGGGAATCGGGTCCGGGGCGAGGCGGCTGGGAGGCGTCGCCTGCGTGGAGCACGCTGGGAAGTGTAGTTTGTGCCCCCGTGTGCGGGGAAGGGGGGGGTGGCCGTGCGCGCCCCCTCCTCGAGCGAGGAGGACTCCGGCTGAGCTGACCAGCCGGCTCTGTTGTTGCCGGCCAGCCCTGCTGCCCGGGACCCGCTCCTCTTGTTCCGGCTGCGTGGCTGCGCGCGCTCTCCCCAGGGTGCTTCGGCAGGCTGCAGAGACTTCAGCACCTGGCCGCGTCCCCCCTTTGCAGAGGTCTGACCGGTGCCTGGCGGAACATCTCTGCCTCACAGTCCCTGTGAATTGCATGCGGTCCTGCAGGGCCCTGGTGGTATCTGGCAGAGAGTTCCACCAGGTTGGGGCCAGGACTGGAAAGACCTGGATATCCTTCGGGCCAGGGACATAACAGAGGAGAGGGTCCTGTAGGTCCATTGGACCCTGACCGCTCAAGGTCAGTGCCAAAACCTTGGTTCCCTAGATTCCCCAAACACCATGGTTTGTATCGTTCCAGCTGGGGTGGACATACAGAAAGCAAGATTGGGGGTTCCCCAGAATCCTTTTTCTCACTTGGGTGCCCAGAACACACCTCATAGAATCATAGAATGTTGAGAGTTGGAAGGGACCTTGCAGGTCATCCGGTCCAACCCCCTGCACTCTGCAGGAGCAGAGCCGAAAGAGAGCCCTACAACATACCCGGAAGAGGGTCGTCCAGCCTCTGCTTGAAAACGTCCAGCAAAGGAGCCTCCACCACCTCCCGAGGCAGACTGTCCCACTGCTCAACCACTCTGACAGTCAGGAAGTTTCTCCTGATATTTAGCCTGTAACGACTCCCTTGTAACTTCCACCCATTAGATCTAGTCTTGCAATCCGGAGCAAGATAGAATAGATCTGCTCCATCTTCTACATGACGGCCCTTCAGGTACTTGAAGACTGCAATCATGTCCCCTCTAAGCCTTCTCTTCCCCAGGCTAAATAGACCCAACTCTTTCAGCCTTTCCTCATAAGACCTGGATTCAAACCCTCTCACCATCCTGGTCGCCCTCTTCTGGACACGCTCGAGCTTGTCAGCCTCCTTCCTCAAACGTGGTGCTGGCAGGGGTTCTGAGCAGCCTCTGCATGCCAGTCCTGGGAGGCAGCATGAGGGCAGGCCTGGGCCTCATGAACTTGATTGTCTGGTGCTCCCGGGGCACGGCCGCCCTGCCACCGGGCAAGATTGGCCATAGAGGTCCGGAGCGGGACAGGCTTTACCGTCTGCCATGGTGGCTCTTCCTCTGTCTGCAGGTCCTCCGGAAGCCATGCCAGATTCTCCAACCACCTCCGGGCTCCTGAGCGGCTGGCTAGGCCGTCCCCGGCCGTGCCGCTGCTCTTTGCGCGTGGTCTCTTCCCCCTGGGCCGGGCCGCTGTGTTATTGGCTGGCATGGGGGCCACGTTCCGCAGCACGGCCTTGTGCCAGGAGGTGGACAGCGACGTGCCAGCGTGTGTCTCCCCGGCTGCAGAGAAACTGCCTGACTTTGACTGGGCCACCTTCTGGAAGTTCCTGAGGCCGCAGCTGCTAGCGCTGACCGGGGGGGGTTGTCTGTTTTGCCCCCCCCCCCCCCCAGAGGGGCCAGGAATTTTGACTGCTCTGTGTGTGTGTGCTGCGAGGCAGGCAACTTCACCAGCAGGGAGGAGGGGCCCACCCCAGAGCCTAGCAGCACTGTGCTTGGGGGCCTCGGAATTAGAGGGAGGGGGTGCAGTGTCTCCCCCCCCTCCTAAGCCCCTCCCCCCCGGGCTCTGCCTTCCTTCAGTTTGCACTCGGAGTGGCGCTCCTCAACGTGCAGATCCCACTGGTGCTGGGCGACGTGGTCAATGTGGTGGCCCACTACACCGGACTGGGCAATTACCTGCGTTTGGTGCACCGCCCTGCCATGCGCTTGCTGAGCATCTATGCCCTCCAGGTGGGTGTCAGCCAGGGGC